TTAACATTATCAAAAATTATCACATGATATTATGTTTCAAAATAACTGAATTTTTTAAAAAAACCTAATTTGGAACACTTAATTTGAAACATAAAACATAATATTTCGTGATTTTTCTAACTCAATTTGTGATTTTCCGGAACTAAAAAAACTGAATTTTTGCCCGATTATTTTCTTATAGGAACTATTCAATTTATAAACTACAATTTTTAAATAAGATCCTGGATATTATACAATGCTAAACGGTAATTGAAAAAATAACAATTTATAATTAGCTGACCCCATGTATCCATCTCCATAATTACTCACAAAAATTATATCATGAATTCTCTATCGATATAATAAAATAAATATATGTAAAGAACATTCTTTAATTATAACAATATAAATTTTTTTACTGTTCAAAAAAATAGTGTTTTAAACTAACGTTATTAGTTTAAGTTCGAACACAACTTATTTCAATCAGGAAATAATTCTTGGTGACATTGCACAAAGATCGTTTTATCACATAAAATCATTAATAATTTTGTCCATCGAACAAGCAAACAGATCAATCGATCCCAAAGTCTCCATTATAACTAGACATACGACGTTCAGGAAGCACCATCAAATTCTGAGTTTCATAAGTTTCATCACCATCAAACAGACTTGGATGTTTCATTACAGCCAGATGTCGAAGCACATCCTTTTTAGTGATTAGACCAAGAAGTTGTCCATTTTTCGTGACTAGAACGTAGCGTAGACCCTATTGTGATAAACAGATATATAAATTTAATGGTTTTAAGGATTCAGTTCTTTATTTTTCCAAGAGACGCAAGAAAAATATGTATTTTATACCATTTTTCTAAATAATTCTATGACCGTCTCCATAGGGAATTTATGTGATACTGTGATAGGAGTCTGCAGTTAAATGAAAACAGATTATCAATATAAGACAGAAAAGGGCGAATAATATAATAATATTTGATTATTATTAAACCTGATCCATCCATGGTCTAAAATCGATAAATGCATTAGAGTCCAATATTGGCAAGTTATTTGAAAAATAGCATGGACTCGACGAAGAAATGCCTTGCTTTGTCCTTGCTTTTTCTATAACAAAGGAAAAACACGATTAAATGAAATAAAATTAATAAGAGTTCAAATTCTTATAACGTACCAATAGCATATCGCAATTCCGACCGCGAAATATATCCAATTAACAGCATATCTTTGGAATTGATTACAACAGGGAATCCCTTGTAATCGGTATCTATTAATAATTCATCTATAAAGTTTTTTTTTTTAATTCAGTTGTGTAAAGTTATTGAAATATGGCTAAAACAAAGATAAACCAAAATAATGTTTGATACCTAAACTCGATATTGTATGTCCAGTAGAGGTGATTACTATTAAATCTTCAACTCGAGTCATAACTTGAGATGCTAAGGTATTATAGATGTAATCCTCCTTACTATCCAAGTATGGATATTCATTAAGGCGAATCCACGCATCATAAATTCCTTCTTTGTCAAACGCGTCGCCAACCCATTTACTTATCATAACTGTAGAGAATGAATGTACATTGAGAATTCATTTCTCGTACCATAAAGAATGACTATATTCGAGGAACAAAGCTTAAAAAAATAAAGTCTACTTACCAGCAATCATTATAGGCAACACATAAGTTAATGCTCCAGTTAATTCAAACATTATGACGACAAGTGAAACTACACAGGTGAATTTAATTATATTATTAAAATTGCCAATTGAAAATTGAAAAGTAATTCATCTTACCTGTCATTCGTGTAACGCCACCGAATGCTGATGCTGCTCCGATCATAGCATACATTCCAGGTGTAACACATGGAAGATCGGGTTTACATGAAGCAAAAATCCAAAATTTCGGATGTGTTCTTTTGACAAAAATCTTTTAATTACTTTATCTTATAGCACATGAAAGTTTATTTAAATTAATTTACCTTTGCCAAGCTTGTACAGATAATCCGACAGCTCTACCGAAACACGCACCAATTGCCATTGACGGTAACCAAACACCCGCAGGAACTTTTAATCCAAAAGTAATGCCAGTCAAAAAAAATTTGAAAATGGCGGCAATTATAAGAGAAATAGCGGTCGTTAAAAAATTATCATGACTACATGTGTGTTTCAATTCATAAAAATAGCTTTAATTGATATCCTGCTTATAATAAAAAAAAATAAATAAATATTGGAAATTGTATCGAATCATACCTGCAAAGATTATGATAATCTCCTTCAACACATTCCCGAAATAAAGCCGCAACGAGTTCTGATGGATTTACCCTAAAAACAATAAAAATTAATTACAAAATCCATAAGACGATAGCAGCAAATTGTGTTTACACAATTTTATAATAATATCCCCACGCGTCCAATCATCATTATAACATCGATTGAATGATTACCAACCCTCAAAATTTCGGAATCATCATCAATTTTCTTTACCTCATAAAAATATTCAAGTAACTGATAATCGATGTGAATAAAGCTACAATAATCACTTCTTGTACGCCAAAAAACCGAAGCCAAGTGTCTTTACGTATAGATGCTACTTTTAAGTTAAAACGAATAAAGAAAGCACCATAAAGACCCTATTTTATTAAAAGCATTAATTCTCTTGCAATCTTTTATTAATCAGAAGTTATTAAAGTTGGATTACGTACTCCCATTATACCCAGGAAAGCAAAGAAAAATAATTCAAAGGCATGCCATTCCCGATCATAAACCACTTGGAAAAGGACAAGTTTTCCCGTTCTGAAAGGATTCATAAACTAGATTGCATTGAAACTAACAATTAACAATTACTTCAATTAGAATTAAACAAGACTAAAATAAATCACATTATTATTACATCGAGGGCTACTGCAGCAACCATAGCACAAAAAAAGCTTCGCCACATTGTTCTGAACGGGAAATAATAGGATACTTCCTATAGAGTAAAACTATTGATTATTATAAGTATTTCATTGTGTTTGAGATTAAGATGAAAAAAATAATTACCTCTAAACTGAATAACACGCCTCCAATTGGGGCACCAAAAGCAACAGAAACTCCAGCTGCTGCAGCTGCTGATAATATTTCACGCTTTTTTGCTAATATTAAAGATGAGCAATAATTATTCGATAACTCATACAATAGAATTGTATATAATTTATTTTATATCTACCTTCATTAAATCTGAACTTTGGGAATATTCTAGGAATAATATTACCACAACAACACGCTAAATGGATTAAAGGACCTTCTTTTCCTAGACATAAATTGGATGCTACCACTAAGCACTATTAAAACAATATAGCTGATTAAATTCCATTAAATTTATCTCTAATAAAATTGAACGGATTATACATAACATCTAAACTTACCACACCGATGCTTTTTATCAGTAAAGTCCACCATCCAAGAAATTTTCGAATAACAAATCCGCCAAGAATGGTTTTAACTTCAGGTATTCCACTACCTGCAGAGTATGGTGAATAAGTTTTTACAAGACAGGCAGCCACAGATGCGAATAATGTCTAAAAATGAACGCAAGGATTAATCTCGTCAAAAATTAATAAATAAAATAATGAATGATACTATACGAATACGCACCGAAAATATAACGTAAAAGACATAATTAGTCCAAAATTCTGATATCGATGATTTAGCTTGAAGTCCTTTATTCCAAGTAACCCATTCATAACATGTTTGATCATCTATAAATGGTAAAATAAAACTCAGAAGATATTTTAAAATTTATATAATAAAGTAAAATTCAAAATATAATACCATCATAACCCCAACAACAAAATCTTCTATTAAGGTAAAAACCCGAGCTGCAAAAGCCTTCTTTTAAATCACTCAACCACGCAGAGGTAACATCTATAATGCCAGCCAAAATTCCAGAAGCTAGACCTTTTAAAGATATAGAATTTAATAATCAAGAATTATCCTCAAGAAACTGAATGATTAACTTTTAGAACAAGTAAACAGAAATTACCAACGGCCAAAACTACGATCCATCCCTCCATTGAATCAAATATAATATTAATTTTACCACGCCATCCTTTCTTCTGATGCAATTTCTTTTGACGTGCACGTTCCTTGGCGAAATCATGAATCCAATCTTTTGAATAAATACTATTTTACGTCAGCTATTCAAAAAAAGAAAGAACGAAATTTGAAACAATTTTAAAAGAAATCTTATTATCAGAAAATTCTTTCGGACCTATCGTTGTAAAATCGTCGTACGCAACTCTAATACCAGTTCCTTCCATTACCCATTCTGTAACATCTCCTTGTAATTCTTCATCGTCGTGTCGTCGTAAAGTACTAGACATGTGTCCAGTCGGACGTGCCTGTTTTTTTCTTATGGGTGGGGACGGTTCTGACAACTTAAAGAATCGACTGGAAGAAGGTTCGGAATTTTTGCGTTTAAACGTGAACTCATCATCTATATCGGCACTAATAAAACAAAGGTAATTGGAAAAATTAAAACATTAGATCATTCAAAATAATTGATTTATCTTTATTATATAAAATGAATTGCACATTCAGCCTCATGCAAATATTAGCTCTGTTGAACACACGAAACAAGTAAAAGTCGTCTTTCAGAATGAAACTTACAGTTTAGACTTCAAAAGTTCAGCTGCTGTTTGTGTTAGCTGATCAAAAGTTTGTGCATTACTCTCAAAGGCAAGGGAAGTTCTCCGAGATTCATCGGGAGAAATAAAATCTCTATTTATATCTACTCTCGAGGAACTAGCCTCTATATCAGCTCTAGCATCCCTAGTAAGTGGGGTTTCACTGTCTGAGGTCGGCGTGGAAGCCAAAGAAGACAATTCCTGTTGCTCTTCCATTGTGAAATTATGCAAAATTCATTTAGATTTGACTGACTTCTATGAGAAGTTCGCGTAACTAGGAACATTGATCAACCAATCAGAAGCGAGAATTACAAACATAATTTACGCCAATTTTGAAATTTAAAATTTTCGAAAATGTCAAAGAAACCTGAGAGAAGAGCAGGTATATTTTTTTTTATATTTCAGATTGATACTCTGAAGAATTAATGCCTCTTTAAAATTAGCTGTTCTGGATGAAACAACTCGCAAAAGAAACGTTGAGCGTCATTTGAATGAACTTGAACGCGACAATTACGCAGAAGTTCCAGGCTTAGAAATAACTGGAACCTTATCCAAACCACGAAGAACTTCAGAAGTTGATTTGAATCAAAATGGTAAGTAAATGGCTTTCAGAAGTCTTGATAACGTCTTCCATAGCTTCATTTTTCGTCTCTAGGTCAAAAAAAGAAGGCACGGACCAAAAAAGAACTTATTAAACAGTTGTGCGTGAAGAAAACCCTAAATTTGTTACTGGAAGAATCGGTAGTCATTTGCTGCTCGGAATCGTATGAAAAATTTCGTAGCTAAATTTTATTATTGTAGCGAATTGAATTACTTCCCCCCGATACACCGACTTATTTGTCATCAGCAGCGGCTCCTTCTAGGTATCCTCCACGTAGATTTTGCTCAGTTTGTGGCTACTTGTCAAATTATAGTTGTAGAACATGCGGAATGAAATATTGTAGCATTAAGTGCAAAGAAACCCACGAAGAAACAAGGTCTTTATAATAATTCTTGATTCCTTCTGTTCTTTCTTATAATAATATTTAATCTCTATTTTTGATTTTTCAGATGCATGAAATACACGGTGTGAACGCATCGATAAGAGCGCTCAATGCTGAAATTCTGCTTGTATTTGAAAACAAATAAATAATCTATTATCGAAATGGGATGTATTCTTATGATGGCTTTATACACATTCAAAAATCAATAAATTCAAAAAATGCCCAAAACAGAAAACATAAATCAAAGTTATGATCTGGTTGTTTCTGCATATTTGGGCTAGAATAACCAACATCGTTTCCTATATTATTGTTATGTACTATTTTATTGATTATCCTGCCATTTACTATAGTATTTATCATATGGTCTCCCAGATGTTGACATTCTTGCCATTCTTGCTACATCGATCATAATCATAATATCGAAATTTATCACGATATAGAAATATAGAATATCAACTTTGTATTTTTTTCCATTGTCTCTTCACTCACTGAAGCATGGCATACAAATTTAAATCATTAATATTACTTCTTGTATTATCCATCACTAAACTTGCAACTGGCTTCTACATTCCCGGTCTTAGTCCAACCACGTATGAAGATGGCGATACAGTGCCGCTATTTGTCAATAAAATATTTTCCGATAAAACACAACTTCCTTTCGCGTATAGTGACTTACCCTTTGTCTGTCCGGTTGAGAAGGGTGGAAATCGTTGGTTAAATTTAGGCGAGGTATTAAGAGGAGATCGTATCGAGCTTTCAAAATTCAAGGTATTTTATTTAGACTAATCCCTTTCTGAAAGTACTTTAATAAAGCTGACTACATGTTTTTACTCATTTGAAGATTAAAGCCTTGGAAAATAAAACATGTTCGACTTTATGTGCTGTGGATTTAACGGCTGGTAAAGCTATGGAAGCTAAACATTTGGTATCAAAGGATTATAAAGTGGAATGGTTCGTCCTACTCACAAATATTTCTGAACAACTATCATTTTCTTTATTTTGAATTATTGAATAGAACAATTGAATTCTTAGGATTATTGATAATCTTCCTGGTGCTACCGCTTACAGAACAGCAGATGGAAATCATAAGCAATATGAGGTTGGATTTAATCTAGGAGAAAAGGATGAAAAGGTTACCTTTTGATTTGACCTTTTTTTATCAAGAATTAAGTCTATAGATATAAAATTCAAGCTCAACTTTACACAATTACATATTTTTATCATAGAAAAAAGATGCGGTAAAAGCTTATCTTAATAATCATTTCGCCTTAAAAATACTATACGAGAAAAAAAACAATGACCCTAACGGTATTCTTATTGTTGGATTCGAAGTGGAACCGAGATCGTAAGTCAGGATTCGTAATTACACTTGTCTAGAATTGCAGGGTTATAATAATCATATGAACATTTTTATTTACGCAGAATTTCTGGATTAAAAGGTGCTTGCCCTGATTACCCGGACAACCCTGAAAATCCTAAATTAGAAATTGATGCTAACACATCGCAAGTCACTTACAGTTATTCGGTTCTTTGGCAAGAAGTAATTTAAATATATTTGGCTCAATTTGTTGTCTAACATTTTTTTACTATACGAATTAATTGGTTTTTTGACTTTTAGACTAAAGACGTTACATGGGGAAACCGATGGGATCTTTATTTGACTAATTCAGACCCTCAGATTCACTGGTATTCCATTATCAATTCTCTTATCATTGCCTTATTCCTTTCAGCCATGGTAGCCATCATCATGCTTAGAACGCTTAACAGAGATATCGCGTTATATAATGAAAAAGACTTGAAAATTGTATGTAAACAATTTTATTTCAAACATCAACTCTCAAATGGAATAGGATTGATGATTGCTTATCTCCATATTTCCTATATATAATAGGAGGACCAGGATGACACGACTGGTTGGAAATTGGTTCATGGCGATATATTCAGACCTCCTAAATGGGGTGGTTTTTTGGCGCCATTGCTTGGTTCTGGGGTGCAGGTTCTATTTATGGGAATATTTACAATGAGTATGTATTTTACCTTTTTTTTTTTTAAGACACGCTATATATTCCCATTACTAAAAGAGACTATCTTATTTATTTTTTTAGTATTGTCATTATTGGGTGTCTTAAATCCTTCTTATCGTGGTGGCTTTGTCTCTTTTACTCTATTTCTATTTGCCTTTTCTTCGTAAGTGTTTTTCATTAATAATCCTGGCAAGGCAATTCGGATTAAAACTCATTTACTTTCTACTTGCATTAGAGCTTTTGCTGGCTATTATAGCTCACGAATGTATAAAGTATTCAAAGGAACAGCTTGGAAAAAGAATGCAATTGTGGTATGTAAATGTCAATATCATGACGATTCTTTTTAATAATCGAGTAAAATATTAATAACATATGTTGTAGACTTCAATCTTATTCCCTGGCTTCTTGTTTGGCGTCATTTTCATGCTCAACTTTTTCATATGGTCTCAACATTCATCAAGTGCAATTCCTTTTGGCACTTTCTTTGTTTTAATTTCCATATGGTCCTTTATCTCTATGCCGCTCTCTTTAATTGGAGCTTACTTTGGTTATAAGAAAGCAGTAATTGAGCATCCAGTACGCACTAATCAAATTCCACGTCAAATTCCCGAACAATCTTGGTATTTGCAACCTGGAGTTAGGTAATATATTATTTAAATATAATAACTCAATTCGCAAAGCATATTTATATTTTTGTCAAATTCACGATTTTCTCGTGATTTTCCAGTGTCATGATCGGTGGATTGATGCCATTCGCGGTTATATTTATCGAATTATTTTTCATATTAAAATCAATGTGGCAAGATCAATTTTATTACATGTTTGGATTTCTCGGATTGGTTTTTATTATTTTGGTGGTGACAGTTGTTGAAATCACCATCGTAATAACATATTTCCAATTATGTGGAGAGGTATGACAATGACATTTGCTTTTACATTACCACGTACTTTTCCTAATGTAATTTTTTTTTGAACAGAATTATCATTGGTGGTGGCGATCCTTCTTTGTCGGAGGAAGTTCAGCCGTCTATATCTTTTTGTATAGCATTTTTTATTTCATCAGGCTACAGATTTCTGGCTTCATTCCGGCCCTTGTTTATTTCATGTACAGTTTTCTAGCGTCTTGCGTATTCGGTTTATTAACTGGCACATTAGGCTTCTTTAGCACATATTGGTTCGTGCGCAAGATATATTCTGGTAATTATCTCGGATTTGTGAAATCCTTTTTTCATCATCTTTAATCGTTGTATGCTAATGAAAATTTGCCAATTGTGCCCTCTCCCATAACATTTAGCAATCAAAGCCGACTAGGTCCAATGTCTTGATTACTACGTACATACTTATTTATTGCTATTAATCTCTTTATTTTTGATGAAGATAATATGTAATTATTCTTACTAGTATATAAATTAATATTTTTCGAGTATAATAAATACAAATGTCCAATAAAGTAAATTACAATTCATCTTTTTTCTGAGATGGTGGCGATGTTGATTCACTTTCGGGTGACATGGGACAGAAGACATATTTTGCCACTTTACCGATTCCATAAGTTGACATTGCATCCGAGAGAAAAGTGATTATTTCACCTACTAATGGCACTAATCTGGCCAACTTAAATACTCCTTTACTACCTTTCTTTGTAATCAACTTAATTGCAACCCGTTTATTAATAGCTGTTAATGCAGAATTTGGTATATTGTTAACCATTCGACGCATCACGATCGTAGCTAAATCGCGTGCAATTTGTGCAGTTGAACTTTTCGCGCCATCTGCTACGACACATAAATAAACCATTGTACGCACCGCATCATCGTTTGTGTCTAATCCAGCCAATGAAGCAATACTCTTTACCATGTGCACTTGGATGGCCAACGCACTCATCACATCAATCAATATGTTAGTCTTTGTATCGATTCCTGCACTTTTTGATACGTGGTTTAATACGGAGGAGGATAAACCAGCCGACAAAGAATTATAAAAAATTGTACGATCTGATTTATGATAATAAGTTACATTTGTAGTAAAGCAAGTGGTAGTGGTGGTGGCAGTAACTGTAACAATGTCGTCTAATAATTTATCAGCAGTTTGTCGACTACGAATAGCTAACGAGGTAAAAATTGCTTCAACTGGTGCGGAACGCGGCGCGAAAGGCTCATATACTTCCTCGGAACGAAAATACGGAATTTCAGTGACAGAGTCATATATTGAGTCAAGGAGCAACATTGCTTTCAGTGCTTCAACTTGTTTCTCTGTAGAACTAATTGCAGTATTCTTTGTTGTTTTGAAATTATTCTCATTATTTGTGCCTTTAAGTGGTGCATTATCAAGCTCAAGATGTGCGGCGAGATTTTGCACGACCGATGGAGGTGGACTATCTTTTACAATTTTTATTTTGCCACTAACAGCCGTTTTAGCGATGTTTTCACCCCAGTCGCGTAAAGTTGTCACACCTTCTATCGAGTCAAGGTTTACTTCGAACGAGTCAAGAAATGACTCTTCACTAATTAATAGTTCTTCTAGACGTGTAAAAGGGTCATCGTCGACACCTGAAGATAATATTGGAGGGGGTGTTTCAGTTCTAGCCAGTGTACAAAGTGGTAAGCAAATGTAAAAGATAATTAGCAGGCGTTTATGGCACGAAAAAGAAACCATTTTTTGAATGCTTACACAAAACTGAAAGTCGCTTATAATGATGCCATGTGATTTATTGATTTCCAGGACTTTTCGATCTTAACCATGTCCATTCCAAAATTCATTTTGAACAATGGCGTAGAAATTCCCGCCCTTGGCTGTAAATAATTTCTTTAATAATCTATTTTTCTTTCTTTATACAATTATTTTGTCTTCATGAAAAGAATTATTTGTATGTTCATATAGTGGGCACATATCGCATAAAAACCAAGGAAACGCTGGAAGTAGTAATAAAGAGCGCTGTCACATTAGGATATAGACTTATTGGTAGTAAATTATTTTACATATGGATCAAATATTGTTCCCTTCAATAATATATTTAAGTCAGGAATTTTTGTTAGACTCTGCAATAGTATACAGAAATGAGGAATTCATAGGACAAGTACTTCAAAAATTGTTTAAGGATCCCTCATTAGGTCTCAAAAGAGAGGATATATTTATTACTAGTAAATTACGTAAGAGAACTGGTTTATGTTGAATTGTCTTAAATTGACAAGTAATTGAATAATAATCAATCGAAATAATAAAGCACCCAAAGATCAAGGATACGAGGCATGTTACAATGGTCGGTTAATTTTTTGCATCAATTGATTTTTATTAAAGAAGATATTAGTTGTATTGAGTATATGTAAATTTTATTCGATTGCAGCGGTTAATGCGTCACTTCGCCGTTTCGGTATTGAGTATATTGATTTATTCTTGATACATTGGCCTGGGTGAGGGAATAAATCAAAAATGAATTAAAATCTGGCTATAAATAACATATGACTAATAATCTCTTTAATAAAAAGTACCCAAGGTCTGAAACCTCACGACCCACAGAACGCCACAAATCGAGATTCAAGCTGGCAAGCGCTTGAACGTCTCTACGATGAGAAAAAAATCCGTGCAATCGGAGTCAGTAATTACACACATCATCATCTCATCCAATTACTTTCCACATGTAGAATAATTCCTACAATATTGCAGATTGAATTTCATCCGTTGCTGTATCAAAAAGATCTTTTGGAATTATGTAAAAAACACGGGATTAGGGTTGAAGCCTATTCTAGTTTGGGTGAAGGGAATTTGGTGGATGGGAATGTCGAGGTGGATGGATTGGAACAGATTGCATTAAAATATGGTGTGACTAAGGCACAAGTCTTACTAAGATGGGGATATCAGCATGAGGTGATTGTTATTCCGAAATCGACATCACCTGAACGGATAAAAACTAATGCTGAAATCTTTCATTTTGAATTATCGAAAGTAGTAAGTTATTCATTGAAATCAGAAGGGAGGAGGGAATTATGAATTTTTTAAGTTGACAAATTATTCTCTTATTAAAAGGAAATGGAATTATTGGATTCCGCAAGTGATGTTGAAAAACGTCGATTTTGTTGGGATCCCACGGAAGTTTATTGATTGGCCTATATAGTATTTATTGTGGCTTTATCACTGAGAAATCAAATGTAAATTTTTATTGAAAGTGCAAGAAAATATATTTTATTAATGCGAATAACTTAACAATATGTTACAAATAATTTATGCAAAACTTGCAAAACTTGATGCTAAACTTTTGTTATTAGATGCAATCTTAATCGGAGATGCCATATGGTCTGAGCGAAGATGAGCCTTGAGATCATCCTTACTTTTATATATTTTGTTACACTCATTCCAATCGCATACGAATGCTTGTAATTTATCAGATTCTTCTTTTCGAGTAGATCTGTCATTGAGAATATCTTCAACCCATGTTCGCCGTAGTTGGTCATCTGATCTACGATTTTGCTCCTCAAGCATTTGAGTTATTGAGCGTTGGTAGGTTGCTTCTTCTTCGGCTAACTTGAGTGCTTCTTTAATCAGTTGTAACTCCGCTTCAAGTCTTTTATATTTTCCTCTGAGAGATTCAAGCTCTTGTCTCGGGTCTGAGTATGTAGATTGAGATTTCGTTGCTGTTTGTGCATTTTTAGATGGTCCAGGGATTGATATTGCTTGTACAGTTGAAGCAGAGGGATCATCAATAACTTTGGTGGTTTTGTTTTTTTGTTTTTTCGATGAGCCAGGATTTGATTCATTATCCGAATCTTTGTGAATCTCCCCCTGCAATTTAGACAAGAAAAAAATTCTTTTATCATCTCTAATCTAATCTAATCTATTCTATTCTATTCTAATTTAATCAAAATCAAAATCAAAATCAAATCAAATCAAATCATAGAAACAAAAGTATAAATAATTTACCTTTTTGCGCTTCTTTCCTGCTATAGGTTTCTCCAACCTTTTATGTGATTTATTAGAATCAGAAATATGCCGATATCGAAGAGTATTTCGCGTATTATTCACCGGAACTTTAGATGACACCGGGATAACAGACCTCTCAAACCACTGTCGCGCCGATTCTTCCATACCAAAATCCAACGAGTTTCGAAAGCCAGATCTCACCCACGTCATAACTTTATTACATATCGACGTAAAATGTTCGTGATTTTGATGTATTCCAACATTTGTATGCCCATTTTTCACATTTATTCCAAAATCCAGAATACGTTTCAAGTCAAAAAGTCGGTAATTCCTAAGCGACATATCAACAGATTTTTGCAACATGTATACATATCCATGTTCTGATGTGTCCTGGCTTACTAGACGTAAAACTGGTAAGCTCGTGTAATAATCGGAGTGCATCCCAAGTTTACGGTGATCAAATGTTGAATCGTACGCAATGACAAAATCGAACTTGGGCTTTAGATTGTTGAAATAGTAACAAATTAACCTGGTATTTAACATAAGAGAGCATTTATTAAAAACCATTAAAGTCACTTACAAATTCATGGATCCGATTTGGAAGTCCTGTATAGTCGGTTGAAATTAAATAAAATCGACTCTGGAGATTTAAATTCGAATTTGACTCTATGACTTGAAAAGGCATGTGAATTTTGTTAAGATATTCTTGCATTATATTCTAAAAAAGATAAATTTATCATCAATCTTCTTAAATAGCAGATATAGATGGCACTTGCTGTAATATAGCGGTTCAAATAATATACCATCATACTCGGCTGAACAGCAATTGCAATCGATAGCTTGTGTTCATTTAAAGATAATCGTGGGAGTAAATTTTTTAACATTACTAATTTGCCCGGTTCATCTAATGCATACAAATAACTACTCGAAGAGCTCGTTGATGAATCAAGAAGTCTAGGATTATCACATAAGGTATTCAATTGAGTTAACTTGTTGAAAATCGGTGAATCAAGCGAGGTAACAAACTGTGAAATTGGTGAAATTTTCAGCTGTTGTTTCACATCCTCTTGATCATTGTACATCATTATATATAATTTTTGTTGTGCGTATGAAATTGGCGCCGGAATCATAATAAATTTGCCCGGTTTATTATTTAATATCACAGCTTGAGAATTCTGTGGAACAGAGGAACTTGATTCAATTATAGAAGCGTTATCAATGCTCTGGTCGTTATTATCGATAAGACTATTCGAGACGTTATATGAAGGAAAGCCATCGATCGAATGGAGTTTTGAAGAGTTTATAATTTCATTAGAAAACATTCCAATTCCTTCTTCCTCTTCTGTCTCCTCCATAGCAACATAAGAAGTAGGAAAACGTTGAATAAAACGAGCCTTTGCGTCAGGAGAAGCTTTGACACCCGGAAAATTCACAAATCTCGGAGTATATTGCTCTGACAAAGGAGTCCTCTTTTTATAAAGTGAACGTTTAGGTCGTTCTATTCTTCTAACAGCTTCATTAATAAAGTTGCTATTCGTCGTAGTAGAGTCAAGGCGATTTTCCTTTTGTCTATTCCAATCTTGTACGACTGCCGGAGTACAGTACTCCTCTGGTTCCTATTTGGGAAACAAAGAATAAAAGCTTTATAACAATTTAGAAATAAGTCTTGAAAATATTGAAGAAAATACCCAAGTAGGTTCCCATTTAATTCGTGTGTCTGGGTCTATGCCTTTCCATTGAATTAATAAAAACTTTTGTCCATCTTCATTTTTTTCGTCTAGTACTTTTTCTACCTCAAACATTTGTTCTTTGTTCTTCCTTGGAGTCCTACGAGTCATGATGATATAAAAGAAGCTTGTGAGAATGAATTATAGTAAACTGTCTTAAATAACTTGCCGTTTTTCACAATAACGATAAACCCATTTTTATAATTTTCAGATGTTTATTTTGATTTTTTTAAATGAGTCATAATTTTGCCTAGAGTTGACCAAAATTAAGATAGCAATTTATTAAAAAATCCCATATACACGATCGATTCGATACTGAATTTTTCGTTTCTGACAATGATAGATAAAGGAAAACTATTTCAAATAACGATTACAAAGTTGAAGACAATCGATGCGTATAATAAAAAATTATGTAGATAAGATGAATAAAATAATGCTCCACTATACTTAAAAAAAATAACGCCACTCTTGTCTTCTTACCGGTGACACGCAAACACAACTGAGAAAATCCGGACTTGTATATTTTACAATGAGTTATTATTGTTTGATATAGAGAGAATTTTAAAAACCCAAATTGTTGTTAATAATGCTTATGCGATTGGAAATATATTCATATGTATTGAATACATTTATCATGTTATCGTTATTGTTGCTGTCATACTTACTCTTTATTTTTTTGCCAAATAAAATCAAATTCTTTTTCTCGCCAATTGTTCGTCCACTTATTCTTATTATTATCATCATCATCATCGCCATCATTATTATCATCATTATTACCACGATTCATTCTATTAACGCCATCAATTGACTTTTCCATCCTTTTCCTTGTGTTATCAATCTCATCAACATCATTATTACTGAGTTGAATCCTTCCAGCATATGTGTCATTTCGCACGTGTAGCAAATGATCTCGTACCATTTTTAATCTATTTAGAGCTGTTTGACGATGTTTTTCCGTATCATCCTGTTTTCCTTGTTCTTTTTCATTCGACACTTCATCGGAAGCTTCAGCAATCAATTTTCTCAAAAAATTCGGTATTCCGTACACATCATCAGTGTATCGAGTCTCTTTAAGATATGCGACAATATCTTCTGCATCTATTAGTGTATTTATATAAGAACCTGCAGAATCCAGATTTCTAGTGTTTGGCGACAGAGTATATTGGAAATGATCGCGACGCCTTTCTATTTCGTGCTCGGTATCGATCGGGTTATAAATTTCAGATACGAAAGAGTTTGAATTTAGAAAATCAATCACTCCTACTCCATCTTGCATATTACGAGTTTTTTTGCCTTCATTTGAGATGATCGTTTCAAATTTGGGAGATTGAAATGTGGTTTCTGCAAGCGGGTTTTGTAAAGTAATAACTCTATCTATATTAGTCTCATGAGAAACCCAACCTTCCCATTCTTGAGACCCGTATGTATTATAGTTTTCGCTCCGAAAATTTCTTTGACTAGCACTAAAATTACTCCCTCCTCCTTCACCAAGCTTTTTTGGACTTCCCAAATGTTCATTGACATTTGTCTCCCAATCTGGATCCGTGGAGACTGAAGCATACGTTGAAGAGCTTCCAATGGTTTTACCACTTGCTTGATTCATAGAAGCCAAGCTTGAAGTGGTGGTCTGAGGAACTGTAGGCAATGTTTCACGTAAAAGAGACTTTGCTGAGGTCACAATGCTTTGAATAGTTTCCTTTCCTTTGTTGTTTGGTGTGGTTTGGAAGCCATTTTCTGAGGATGAAGCTTGTGAAGAATGAATTAAATTTGGCATATTTTATTTCACTTTTCGAAAGTATAAATCAAAATATTGATACTTTATTTGAAACATATAATTCCGCATCAAAATTACATAATTTGGGCCGAGCACGAATCACATGATCTAAGAATGTAAGTACAGTTAAAGTTCGATAAACCGAAGACCTCGGATTATTCAAAAAATAAACTTCGCTTAACGTTATAAAGTACTATTTATATTATTCTTCGTTTTATCAAGCTCTTTGTTAATAGGTTGTTTCTGAAAATCCTTCGTTTTAACGCGAGTTCGCTTTATCGAGGGTTCGCTTTATCGAACTTTAACTGTATATGTATATACATATACTATTTCATCAAAACAAAAAAGACAAAGATACATCACTCAAAGTAATTAGATCTATGAAAATAGAAGAATTATTATTGCATCAAGATATTAAAAATCATATTAAAACTTCTGACTTATATCAACAAAAAAATTATGTATAATATTCTGAAATTTTCTGAGCACAAAGAACATCACAAATGCTGATTATTTATAGATTAATAGAACTTTTATATCAGATATTGTATATTCATAAACTCTCATATTCCAAATATAATCAGTTATTTCATAATATATATTTCAATATCTAATAATCTAATTCTTGACTTTCAGTGATTTTATTTGAACAAAAATATTATTATTTGATTTGTTTAGTTAAGATGAATTAAACAAAAATATTTTTGTTCAAATCAGATTACAAAATGTCGAAATATTACATTTTAAGTAGCAAATTCATTTTTTGATATTAAAAAATGAATCATCCAATTTAGGGCATGAGATTTTGATTTTCAGTAATTTGATTAAAATAAAAATAATAATATTTTAATTAGATAAATCAAATAGTATTATTTTTATTCAAATAGAATTATTAAAAATCAAAATATTATATTTTAAATTGACTGATTCATTTTTTTGATAATCAATATCTAATGAAAAATTGATTAATAAATATGAATTAGTTATTTTAATATATAATATTTCAATATTAAGTGATCCAATTTGAGCAAAAATATCATTATTGATTTATATAGATTAAATAAATCAAATCATAATATTTTTGTTCAAATCAGATTATTGAATATTGAAATATTATACTCTAAAGTGATTGATTTATTGTATTTGAAATAAAAATACTTGTCAAAATATCTTTAAAAATATTTTAGTAGAGTTTTAATGTTTTATACATTAATTATTAATTAGAATTTTAGCAAAATTTCAGTTTTGACAAATTTCAAAATTTCAGCATCTTATTTATTAATAATTTATTATAATTTTAATAAAATTTAGATAATTATTAAGAGATTTTGACAAGTATTCTTAATTTGAAATATAAAAGTTATAAATATAATATCTGATATAAAAGTTCTATGAATTTATAAAAAGATATTGTCATCAGTTTGTGGTCTTTACTGATGAAGATATTCATGAGATAGATAATAGTAATTGTATTCACGCAAAAGTATATAATATAAATCTTTCTAAAATATGAGTTCCAATATCAAGTGACAAAGATTGTATTTATAATTTTTACAAGTGAAGCTTTATAATAAATATAAATAATAATTCAATACATAATAAATTATTATAACAAGGAAGACAAGAAATTCAATAAGAGTAAGATAATTAGAATAATCAGCAGTCTAATCTATTTTTTATTATTGTCAAGACCAAAGATAAATTACAAAATGTCTAATTTTCTGTATTAGATTACATTCATTTAAATACATATTAAAGTAATACAGATTTACAAGATTTGTAATGATGCAAAGAATCAATAAAATAATAAAGTTATAATATAAATATAATACAAATTAATCTAAGTATTACAAATGAAATTAGCGAAATATTGATGTTACATTAAATAAATTAAATAGATTAATAATTAGAATCAAGAATCAATAAAATATAATAACTAATAATTAATAAAAATTGCATAATAAATAAATAAAATGATTGTTAATTTATAATATTACTAGATATAAATAAAAGATAATTAAAAATAAATAAATAAATATTTATAAATAGAAATTAATTAAATATCACTCAAGATCTGATAATATCTCATATCAGATAATTAAGAAAAATAGTAAATGGTAATAATATCAATAATTAGTATTTGTAATATTTTTTATATTCAGAAAATTTCAGAATATTATATATAATTTTCAAAAAGTTATCTAGATCAGTTACCTATGCTAAAAATTATATTATTATTAATTATAATACTAAATAAACAAAAATCAAAACAATAATTAATATTATTGCTATAATAATTATATCATTTTTATATAAAGTTATTATTTATCAATATGATTTTCTGAAAGAATTAATATCTGATTATAATATTACTTTTGTAAATAAATAAATTAATTAAAATATTATATTAAAGTTATTAAAAAAAATATTATCTTTTAATATTATATTATTTGCAAATAAATAAATTAGTTAAAAGATTAAATAGAACTTTATGTGAATTAATAGCAAAAATTATATAATTATATAAAAATAAATAGAATTTAATACTTTTAGAATATTGAATAATATAACAAAGTATAATAAAATTTATATTATTTTATTTTATTTATAGATAACAAGTTATGATTTTACTAAATTTCAAACTTTAACTATTAGAAAATTAAGAAATTAAAACAAATAAAATAATAAAAGAGCTTGTATAATAATAAATAAATTAAAAATTAACAGAATATTAACTTAATAAAATATTTAAAAATCTTAACAAAAGCAAAAAGAATCTTATTAACAAGATAAATATTCACAAAATTTTTTATTAATAATAAATTTTAATAAAAAGAATAAAAATATAATATTGTCATTATGAAAAATTTTCACAAAAATTATTTTATATCATATAAAAATATTTATTAATCAAGAATAATAAATAAAAGCTTTTTAAAAATTTATATATTAAAAATAATTAAAGTCAATAAGTTAAAATTAATAATAATAAATTTAATTTGACTAAAAAATTAATAAATTTAGTTTTGAAATTAATTAAATTTTATATTATTATAATTGAAACTAGAATTATAAAAATTTTTCAAAATAACAAAATTTATTTTAATTAAAGAATATTATTATTATTATAATTAAAATATTCTGTAATATAATTATTTTATTAATAATTAATTTCTTTTATTATTATATATATAAAAATTTTAATAATAAAATCTAATAAAATTAAAATTTTTGCTCTATAAAAAAGTTTTCATTTTTATTAATAAATATTTTTTGTTTTATATTAAAATAAAACTAAGAATTTATAAAATAAAAATTTTTATAAATATTTTACAATTAGAAGAATTTCATGAAATAAATCTAAAAATTTACAAAAAATATATATTAAAATATAAATTCTTAGCTTTATTTTGATATAAAAACAAAATATATTTATTAATTAAAATAAAAACTTTTTATAAAGCAAAAATTTTAAATTTTATAAGATTTTATTGTCAAAATTTTTATATACAATAATTTATTATAAATTAATATATTTAACAATTTTAATTATTTAATTTAATTTAATTATTTATTATTTAATTTATTATATTTTTATTAAATGAATTTAAAATTATATAATTTGAATATATAATTTTTATATGTAACTTATATATATATAATTTTATATGTAATTTATTATTATTATTATTATTATTATTATTATTATTATTATTATTATTATTATTATTATTTATAATTTTATAATTTTACTAATTTTGATAATTTATATAATTATATAATTTATATAAATATAGATTGTAGAGATAGCAGAAATAGTAAGTTCTTAGATATATTAATATTATTCATTATATTATATTTATTTAATATATATATAATTATAATAAGTTAATCATAAAAATATTAGATATAAATATAGTTGATCTTGTAACTGTAAAAAAACAAGTTATAGCAATTAATTCAACTAATAACTTAAATAAAATATCTTTAATTAAATATCTATTACTTGATTATCTTTATTAAATAAATAAATTAATTATATATAATTATATTATTATATTTGCATTATTATATATTACTAAATATTCAATCAGATTGCTATAAAATATTAGTATTATATTATTATAAAATTATTCTTATACTAAGTAAATACAAAGAAAGATATTTATTAATAGTAGTAATATTTTGTTTTATCTTAATAAAATAAAAAAAATTTATTATAACTGGATCAAAATTAATAAATAATAAAGATCACAATAGATATTAATTGAATATTCATATTATAAAAGTATTTATTTAAGCCTGAAACTTGTGATAATATCTACAAATATAAAAATATTAATACTATTTGTTTTTAGTTAATACTTCTTATTAGTTTATTTCTCCTTTGAACACACCTTTTTAATATTTTTTCTTCTTATTTTTGTACTAATAAATTTATTAATCTATTTTTCTCTCTTAATTTATATAATATTTTTACCAAAAGTGAAGAAACTCTTTATTTAAAGTAACTATAGCAATATGCTTATAAAATTTCATTTAATTCCAATTAATATTAAATAAAAAATAATTTTTAGACTGATTTAAATTATTTTAGATTCTAATCTAATCTGATCCAAAATGTGTATTCTGAGTTAGATTACAAATTAAACCTAATCTAATTGAAATACTAATTTAGAATTAATTTAACTAAATTTGTTAGAAGTTAAATATTACAAAAATTAGTTCAAGTAAATAAAACAATATAATAAAAAATTATTAGCTTCCAAAAAAATTAGTAATATTATCAAAAATCTGAATTTGTTATATATTTTTAAACAAAAAACAAATTAATTTATTAGTGATAACTACTAAAATAATTTTATTAGTTAAAAATATTATATTTTTATTAATAATTAAGTTTTTATATTTTATTAAATTATTATATTTTTATATTATTGGTTAATTATTTTTAGAATTCAAATTTCTATTTGAATTTTAGTTTAAATTTTAATTTAATTTTTAATTTAATTTTTCAATTTGAATTTCTATTCAAATTTCAGTTTTAATTTTAATTTTAATTTTAATTTTAATTTTAATTTAAAATTTGATTTAATTTGTATTTTATTAAAAGTTAAAAAAATTTATCAATTCAAAATCAAGTTCTTTATTAATTTAAATAATTTTTAAATAATAGTATTCTTTGCTAAAAGTTAATAATTAATATTTTTTTATTTTATCTTATTTTTATTTAAGTTTTTATTTAATTGAATTTAGTTTGAATTTTAGCTTTATTTTAATTTGTTTATGATCTTTATTTTAATTAAAAATTATATTTGTTATAGTTTGATTTCTTATTTTAATTATAAAATTATATTTAATTTAGTTTATTTATTTAAATTACAAAGTCATATTTGTTAATAATTTTTATTTTTATTTTAATTGAAAAATCATATTAAATTAATTTAATAATTAGATTATTTAATTAAGTCATTATTATAAAATCCTTTGATATAATAAAAAATATTGAAAATATATTCTTATTAAGTCATAAAATTATATAAAATAATAATAATATATATACATATCCCTATACTATATTACTAGAAATTGAAAAAAATATAATAAAATATACTAAAATTGATATTATTGCTTTATATTAAAATTTGTTATTTTATTAATAAAATAACAAATTTTAATATAAAGCAATAATATCAATTTTAGTATGTTTTATTATATTTTTTTCAATTTCCAGTAATATAATGTAGGAATGTGTATATAAGTAATAATTTTAATTAATAAAAAATAAATAAATATAAATAGAAAATTAATTTAATAATTTTTTTATTTTCAATAAATATATAATTCTTATATTTTATAATATAAAAACATATTGAATACTACTTATATACAATATACTTCATAATGTATAATAATATCATTTATTATAATTTTTAATTTAAAAAGTATCTAAATTATAATTTTTTCTTATAATCTTTAACTTGAAAATATTATTAATATTTAATAAAGAAATAAATTAATATATTGAATTGGATCTTATTCTAGCAAGTTACAATACAAATATTTCATTATCTATCTTTAGATAAATATTTTATTACATGAAAATAATAGTTATAATTGATAATAAATATTACAAATCATGTATCTATTCCAAGCAAAATCCAAAACATATAAAAACAGTAACAATATTACTTGAATCTCTTAAATTTTATTTAATTTTGAATGACCTGATATTTCAAAGATATTTCATTAAAATTATCTTCTGCTATATAAATTAAAAATCAAAGAACTGGTATAACAATATTATTGACTGATTTATTTAGTATTAAGAATACTGTGAACGGATATGGAATCAGCCCAAATTAGGAGTTAGTGTTGGTCGAAAGGTTTTAAATCCTGGATTCCGAATTCACCGAATCCCATTCTCAAACCAAATCCTCTAGGTAGAGCAATGTCCCCAAACATGTGATTTTTATTGATAATGATAACTTGAATACAGATAATAATAATTACAGGAAACAGGGAAATAATAAAGACAAATTCATTAATTGAAATCAAATAATTTATTGAAGGACTGAATATTTAATAGATCGGACTTAATCTCGTCCTTTGGTATGAATATTTCTTCGTGCCTCCTCCTCCCTAATCTCAAACATCACTTGCACAGCAACAAATATTGCTAAACAAGAAATCAACAAAAAAATAAATCCTGAAAAAGACAATGAATAATTATACATCATTTATGTCAGGAGTAAGAAAAGATCAATCAAATAATTCATATAATAGAATACAGTACCATCAACCGTCAAAAAAATCTGTGTCAACAAATCTTTGATTCCGTCCAATCCAACAGAGAATCCAACCAAATTCGCAAACATCATCATTAAAATATTAAATACTCCCCCGGCGGCACAAATGTGTCGATAATATGGTGATTCATTCCACTAGATCCCAAAAATTCAAAAAATAATGATTTTTACATCATAATTTTTAACAATTCATACTATAATAGTAGATTTACCTTTTTGGCAGAAAATATAGTTTGCGCAAAATTTTCTGGAAGAATAAATAACCAAATTAGCCATGACCAAGCTAGCAGGCGTAATGATATATCATGCCATAATGCGACAAATGTGAATACTATTAAGATATTTATGGTTTGATGTTTGCTTCCACCAAGTGGGATATAAATGTATCTAAAAAATAAATTTTGTTACAATAACATCCATTATAATTTGGCTTGAACAAGATAGAATTAAAATTACCGAATATTCCATAAATTAAAGCTTCGATGCCAGCTTCTCCAAAATCCTTGAGGCGAATAATTATTACTCATACACCGGGTCATGTTCTCGTATACCTCTATACCATCTGCCATCGCCCAAAATCGGAAAAACCGCCATATTATTAATAGCTAGAAATTCAAATAAATTATGTGAATTTTATCAAGATAACTCTACTTCCATACAATTAAATTTACCTTTAACCAAATTAACTTTAAATTAAAATACCCAATCATGCTCAATTGAGCTGGCGTATAGCCTATCCACGCTCTCGATTGACTAATGGCCACAACATACACATAATGAAGCATCAATTCCATACATAGAACTGCAGCAATCAACCTTATTCCATATAAAAAAGTTGCCTTTACGTGGATTCTATGTGGATATCTTAACTAATCAGATGACAACAATAAATTATATTTATATTAATGATAAAGAATATAATCAATAAAAACAAAATCCATATATTAATTAGCGAAAAACTTACCTGAGAGATATAATCATTATATGTAAGAATTGGACCAGCCAAATACAATGGAGTATATAGAATATAACTCAAATAATAAATATAATTATAATCTCCAGGAAAGCAAGAATGATCAATTCGGTCTTTTATAGTGAGTGGAGCACGATCTCTATCATTTCTCTATTTTCAAAAAAAATAGCGAGAAAAATGTCAATCGGTTATTTTTGAATTAAAGATAAATATAATTTATAAAAAAATTTACATGAGATTCTCCCTGGATTACCTCATTCAAGTCTACGTTGTTATGATGAAAAGTCCAGTAATAATCCATGTTATAAGCAATCATACGTAACATACATATATTAAAAGTAAGAAACCATCTCTTTATTACACCCTGATTTTGATCCTACATAATAAAATTAACATATCATAATTGAGATCTAACAAAAAGTTAAATAGTAAAATTTAGAAAGAAGGAGATACATACATACCAAAAACGCCAATTGTTCATTAATCATCGAGAACGCATATCCATTATACCGATCATTACAAAAAATCATAATCAAATTAAAAATCCATGTGAGAGCAATATTTATTTTTGAACCCTTAAATATCCTTGAAATGCTATAATTCACACTCAAAATAATCAAAATCTTTAATAAGCCGTTTCCGTGCAGCACATACAGAAAGATCAAAGCAAATCCTAAAAAGAAGTATGCGCGTCTAAGATGTTGTGATGGTTGTTTTATTGGGGGTTTTGGTATGAATAGCAATCGATATATATGAGACAGAGTTAAATAGCCGACCAGTGCGATTGTTAGGATTGGATAATTATTGCGAAGGCTAGCAAATTGTGCATCGCTGTTATCCTGTAGAATGGTGATTGTGAGAGAATATTTACTTATGTAAAGAATTGTTGAGCAATTTATTGGCATTTACCACTTTTCGCCCAAATATCCATCCTTTCTGTAATCTTCTTGCGTACAACGGATAATTTGGATGCGAATCTAGCACAATAGATTAATTCAGTTCAATATTTCAATTCAGAACTATTACTTTTCTAGTAAAATACCTTTACTCAAATCAATAGCAATCTTAAACATCATCGGGACGCATATAATAAAAACCAAATAATAGCAATAAAATTCTAGTGTGTTCCATCTTGATGGATTTATTTTTGGGTTTACTTTATCAGAGGTAATATTACTGGCATCGCTGCTAGATGGCAAAACAGTGTATTTTGTGGATGAATGTGGTTCATTGTTGTGATTATTGCTAACAGTTATTTGGACTTTTTCCCGAAGTTCTATTAAATCATTCATTTTTCTAATTTCATTTAGTTCTAATTCGAATTTTTATTTTGTATGCGCTTTTTAACGTAACTAATGAATTCCCGAGATAATTAAAAAAAATGGGGATCTATTCTTTATTAGTGATAGTTTAGGAAATAAGAAACTATGCATTGTAAAAATCAGAGTAATTTGATTGGGCGGAATTAGCACATATAGTTTATTTAATAAATAAAAATATTCATTAATACAAAATCTAAAAAAATCAAAATAATTCGTACTAAAAAAAAGAGAAATTCGTTGATTAATAATCAATGAAAGAAAAAAAACAAAATCAAACGTATATACTCACAAAATAATCTAATCCCTGACCAACTTCCCATAATGACAATCCAGTGCCATAATCTTCGGCCAATAATATTCTTTGCTCAAGTGACTATGATAAACAACAAATCAGGTCAAAATAAATCCCCGTCAAAAAAATCAACAATAGAAAAATAAAAACCTTCAAAGTAGGAAACCAGACATCATGTTTCACACCAGTCTTAACATACTCGAAATGATGTTCCGCCGATACTTTATCCCAAGTAATCTTTTTTGGTTTATGCTTTTCTAATATTTTGATAATATCTTTTCCTATAATTGGGTCAGATCTTTTAGAGTCCAAGTAGTCAGTACCATACATATTTAATCCTAGTAGCAATTTATCTCTGTTACGTGATGTTGGTGTAAAGTGAAGAATGTTATCTTCCACCCAATTGATATCTGCATTTGGTCCTTGGCTAATAATAATTGATCACGAAAAGTTCTGCTTAAGTTGAGAATACATTAGAAATACGAAATAATAACAAAATTACCTGTTTCCCAAAGATGTCGAATAATCATAAACCATAACTGAAAATCGATCAACAAAAAAACTAAAATCATCAAACTGTGCCGCAGTCAAAGAAGGAGGAACTCCTGTTCTTATCGGCGACACCACCAAAATCAATTCTTTTCCCTGTTGATGCAGCAATTCGCCCAATTCTTGCACTAAATCTCTTAATAAGAATATCGAAGCAATTCCCATTTCCAATACTAATCCATCGAAATTCTGTGTGTGACATTCATCAGCTAGTACTTTCGCGAATTGTTGCATCTCATCATGACTGCTTAATAGTGATAAATAGTCCGTTTCTGTCCATGATTGTGTACGAAATCTTGGCACTATTTTTCCATATTTTTGTTTTTTGTTATTGGAGCGTATTTCCGAAATCCAGGTTTGGTCTACGTCATGAGCACCCGTTAGATCATATTTATTTCTTAGGTGAGGTCTTTTTGATTTTAAAATCGATAATCAATGAATTGATTAAATAAAAATAATTATGATAGCCCAAACTCGAAAAATACCTTCGAATAATATTATACCATACTGGACTCACACTACATAATATAATTAAATAACAAGACAATCAATAATAATTAATTGTAATAATACAAACTAATAATTAATCAAAGCAATATTCAAAAACATACTATTCAAATTTTCCTTTAACCATTTTTACAATGTCGTATCCTTTAAATCACAGAAATCAATATAACAAACATTCAGCAATCATTGAAAGATATCTTTTTTCTTCATAATAGATACCATGACTATTCCAAGGCGTGACATACGCTAGAGTAGGACCACCATCAAAATATTTAATAGCGCTTGCATTTGGTTTTAAAAATCTATCGTGATGATCGATTATTTCCTGATACTATTTTTGTTTGTAGAAAATCCAAAATATATATTAATCGATCGATCATTCAATTGATAAGACCATTTAGCCAATCAATTACCGTTATTGAAGTAGAAACCAAATCCTTCTCATATATACTTTTCTGTTCCTCGTCGGCAAGAACACAACTACCTCCACAATTAATTTGTTTTTTGAGAATGAGAAAAATATTATTATTATGGCTGATACATAACAAAAGAAATACAAGTAAATGTATTATGAAAAGATAATGTTTATTGAGATTTGAATACATTTTTATTATATTCTTCACAAAGGAATTTATTACATTTTATGTCAATTGTATAAAATATAACTATCAAAAGAATTATGTTTCGAAAATTCTTTATAATGATCGATTGATCTGCTTCATTATTAAACGAAATCACGTTAATTGTCACGCAATTCGATTTTTTCATCGTTTCGAAAAAGACAAAAGAACAGAAAACGATGTACAGAATTAAAAATGTCAATAATATTAAAACCAACTTTAATGAAGGCATTTTCCTAAATCGGTTTTTCTCAATATTTGATGTTAGTTCTAGTTCTAAATTGAAATGGAATTCGAAATATTTTTATACAAATTCCGCATTCACACCACCCACTACTACTCCGCCAACATCAATACACCCAAAACATTCTGCTCCACTTTCACCAGCAGTCTTACATCTACTTACACTGAGCGGAATAAGTGACGCCACGAAAATCACGGCAACCGGTCCAAAAGGACGATTATTGAAAGGCGATGTGTTGACATATCTTGGGAAAATAGCTCCTCGAATCAAAACTGCAAAGGAACAAGAAAGAGACGTGGAAAAGGATCGTACAAAGCCTTCGCCGACAGTGGCTGCGCCAATAAAGGTATTTTATTAAGCTATTAAATGTGAAAGTATTTGTTACCTTGGTGCTTATTTTTCTTGAAATCATTGATATATAATTTAGTCAACACGTGAATCATCCAAGTACAAAGATTTGGATATTTCTTCGAGAAAAAAAGTCGAAGCCTCCCGATTGATTGAATCAAAATCAGCGATACCGCATTCTTATATCTCAAAAACTATCAACATTGATGAATTTTTGAAGTTTAGACAGACAATTAATGGTATTTGTTTTACAGAAGATGATTTACGATACGATTTTCAATTCCTTTCTAAATTTTTCGTTTATTCAACTAATTAGAACAACTCAAAACAAATATAACAATGAACGACTTTTTTGTAAAAGCTGCGTCGATAGCACTACACAAATCACCTGAATTCAATGTGCACTACGATCCAACCTCCGAAAGCTTGACTTCAAAAAATACCGATATTGATATTTCTGTTGCTGCACCATCTGAAATTACCCAAACTGTCATCAGAAAAACAGAGGAGAAAGGATTAAAGACCATTTCTCAACTGATAAAAGAGTCATCGAGTAAAGCAAAAGAGAGTAAACTTTTGCCGGAAGAGTATAAAGGTGGTTCATTTAGGCGAGTATTTTCATTATTGATCAATTGGTGATTTATATGTGAATCTAATTTTATCTTTTATAGTATATCGAATTTAGGTATGCTTGGAGTAGATGAGTTCACAGGTATTATAAATCCGCCACAATCTTCCATACTGGCAATTGGTAGTGTTCGTCCTGTTACCGAAATCCCCGATGTTACCGATAATACAAATGATTCAGATGTACTGGATTATCTTGGTTCTAAACCTGATTCGATATTGTCTTCATCATCGTCGCTAGATGATGATGCATTAGACATTATAGAGTATCTTGGCGGGATAATCCCGTTACCCAAAAACAAAAGCAGATCACCCTCTATTGAGTCACAAGAAATGATTCAAAAAAGACTTTCACCACGCGTTGACACAAGTTATATTATTAGTGTACAATTGAGTATCGATGAGCGTGTGGTGAATCCAGTGGTTGCTGCAGAGTTTTTGGATCGATTCGCTAAAGTTGTTGAGGCACCTGAGCGTATTTTGTTGTAATTTTTTGTTCAGATAAATTTATTTTTTTTATTTATCGAAGAGAAGATAGAGATTTTTGATTGTAAATTCAGTAAGGCTCAAATTCCAAAAGAGAGGTATGATACATGGGCCATATACAAAACGTTATATATTACTATTTATTAATTTCATTATGACGATGTCGAGCAAGGTTCTTTTGATTCCTCTAATACCTCTTTTTCCATTCTTATTTTTGTCGATTCTTCACGAGACAACCTTCTAATCCTGACAGGTGACCATTCACCCGACCAAACATATTCAAATAATCCTCTTTTTGGTTGACCATTTCGCTCATTTTCAAGCGATTGGAGAATCAAGTGTTGTCGTAGTCGATACATTTTCGTGTATATAAATTGTCCTGTGCCGCAGATTAGACCATATGCTAATACCCCTGATATAATACTTTTTCGTCCACCTTTTTATAATTCAAATAATTGATTGTATTATTTGAGTAAAGCTACTGTCATTTTATTAAGAAAGAAAGCAAGTGAAGAAGACTCACGAGCTAGACCAGCCAATAAACCCCCAGTTGTTGCTCCAGCCAAAGCACTACAATATAATTCATCGAAATCTCTGACTTGAGAATTAAGCAATCCAACTGAAGAATTTTGTTGTCGCTGACTTCTTAATAGTGATTCTCGTGTTCCTGATTTTAACATCGAGTCCCGTAAAATAAAGATCAAAAATTTTCACCTTTGACCAATAATCAAAAAAATTCGATCGCGCAATCATAAATCATCTTACCAAAAAATAGCAATCCAAAAATACCAAAATTTATTCCCATATTTTTCGCATATAGAGAAACTGATTCATTGCGAATTAATCCAAGTGTTCCCCCTGCTGCTGAACCGGTGCCAGCTTTTAATGTGCATTGTACATTGGTCAAATAACAAATAAATTATTATAAATTACCGATAAATATATATTATATAATTGTACCTAATAATATAGTTGCTATTGATACACGTTTCAATGTATCTTTAATATTAGGCTCGGGTGTAGTTGCCATGCTTTATCACGCACAATTTCGGATTTGAGGTGGCACGATTTAAATTTCTTAATCTACTCATTGGATAGATAAGATGTGGATTTAAGCATACTTTACAGATCAACGAACAATTTGATCATTTTAAATTATTGAAAGCAAGAGAATATTATCGTGGATGAGAGTACCTTTGTCAATATTAGTGTAAGACAACAGATCTATAATTATTGTATGGAAAATAAACTCCGAATTCTCTTTAGTTTTGGGTTCTGCGTTTCTTTCTGCGGTGTGTCTATCATAAATAATCATTTTTTTTTGTCAATTATATCTAAATAAAGTAATCTTCCAAAAAAACAACAATATCTTGAAATATTTCACCTTCATTATACAATTAGCCTTATTTTGTGTGGTGCATGCACATCAAATATTCAATACGTATGCTGAATTCTTTAGTGATAGAAAGTAGCTGTAGGACAAATGGAAGAGATTAAAAAGAACGTGGCTCATTCATTGATACATTAAATTCATCATTCAACGAAACAACAATAACAATTAACCTTACATAAACATTATTTTTGTCGCCAATCATCTAAATATTTATTATTAATCCCATTATCGTTTTCTCATTATATTACACGTTTGGAAAAAGATCTGTTATCCCAAATTGAAAACACACGAAATATTTGCCATATGCACATATTCTTAATATCGATATCGTTTCATATAATTAAATGATTACACGTGATATTTATTCGCTACCATGATGATAAATTTGAATTTGCGCCAACTTACTTCCTATGCACTCCGAAACTATATGTATTCGTCATTCATTTATATCATTTCTACGAATGTAATCGGAGGTGGTAGAATGAATATACATGTGTATGAACGTGTATACATATACATATTTATATACATATACATATACATATATATATATATATGTATATAAATATGTCTTCAATGAATTTGGCCAAGTTGAAACTCGAAAATGACGAAATGGATATAGAATGTGGGAAAGAAATGTGGAATTTGGAATAGAATAGAATAGAAATGGTTGAAATGGTTGATGGATTGGGTATAGTCTGTCTAGTTTCTGTTATCTTTCTTGCAAATTGTATTCTGTATTTCGTATTATCGATATGCTGAATTTGTACACTTGTTTGGAATATACGTAATTATTTATACTGTATTTATAATACTTACTATGTGTAATAATAGAGAAACAATGTGCGTACTAAAAAAAGATATCGACAGGAAGAATGAAAACAATGTAAATTTCCGGGTGGCTTAATGTGACGAACGATCCAAATAATAATAGTAACAACTACTATCTACAGATACGACGAATGCAACTAATAATGATTGTAATTTAATTACGTTCTCCTTATATCTCTGTTGTTATTATTGTTAACTTCATTTAATAATTTAATAGTAATAACAGTTCTCTCATTTTTTATATTTTGTTATTGATTTGACTTGACGAAGAAAGACAAATAATTATCTGGAAAAACGACCGACTTCACCAATATATCCATTTTACCAACTCAACTATTTTCCAACCAACCTCTAGTAGTTATCAACCCACCAAATCTACTAAAGAAAGAGAACAATAGTTCCTATTTATTTCATTATTCATCATCGTTATCACCATTATCATCATCATTATTTTATTATTTATTTATTATTATTATTACATTATTATATTGTTTTTTTTCAAAGAAACGAAAAAACGAAACGAGACGAAAACAAACACGAACAAACTAAAAATATAATAATATAATATCAAAAGAAAGAGAGTATTTCTTTTTTTCTGTTACTTTAATAAATATATAACTAAGAAAAAAGAAAAAAAGAAAGAAAAAAAAGAAGTTAAGAAAGAAGAAATAGACCCGTGTTCTTATTGTTTTTTTATTGGGTATTCTGGAGTGTAAACGCGACGCGGGATATCTCGAGTGAAAAAATTGGCGGTAGTCTCGAGAAATAAAGAAACTTCAACGAGACTACAACAAAATAACAATGGCTAATAAAACACAACAACGAGGTGGCGTTGGCGTTGGCGTTGGTGATGGTAAAAATAATAACATAACTTCACACACTGCATTTATTGTCACTCTTCCGACCAAAACACCAAATGAAAGTGCTGCTGGCCTCACTACACATCCTGAAATACATCAAAAATTTACTACATTCAACAACACCAACATCGTCACCGATAACAATAATAACACAGATCAAAGCCGTAACTTTTCACATGTACTATCAGAAATAATATCCACTCTCGATCCCGCAACCCACAACAAAATCCTGCAACAGACAAAACTCTCGATCGAAGAACTGATCAAACCTAAGGGAAAATTCAGAAACGGGGTTCCACCACGTCCACAGAATCCTTGGGTGATCTATCGTAAAGATCTCCAGGCGAAATTGGTTGCTGAGCAGGGTGCTGAAATTGAGTTTGGAGCTCGGGTTGGATCAATTTCGAGGATGGCCTCGGAGAAATGGAATGTTGAACCGCAAGAGGTTAAACAAGTTTATGAAATTATTGCGGAAGTGGCTAAACGTGTTCACGAACAAATGTTTCCGAACTACAAATACAAACCAAGGAGAAAGGGAAATAATTCGGGATTTTCGGTAGGTGTTCAACTGATTATTAATTAATTAAATTAGATAAATGATTGATTATCATTTATTATCCAGCGACGAAGTTCAAGTGCTTCCGATAATAGTCTGGAAGGATCCAAGAAAAATTTGGGTGATTTTACGACAAATACATCCACATTTCAAATTGAACGACCTACTCGGCGAAAATCAAGTGCTTCTGATAGTACTGATGATATAAAGAATTCGCTTTTTCTTAATAATAATAATAATAATAATAATAATAACCACCACCACCACAATAATAACAGCAATAACAATTATAATTATAGTAATCAGCATCATAATAATAACAGTTATTCATCTTTATCACCTATTATGGCTGGCATAAAGAAGCCATATCCTTCACCGCCATTAACAACACCTGGAGGTTCATCATCGTCACTTCATATGTCATCATCGTCATCACCACCTTCTACATATCTTCAACAATTATCATCCTCGCAATCTCAATTTCATCATCATCATCGAGGATCAATGTCACCGCATAATCTGTATCCTCCTTCTTCACTTTCTTCTTCGTCAAATTCTTTAGCAAATAATCCACTTTGGACAATTTCCAGTCCGATACCGTCACCTTCCATCACCGCCACATCAAGTACTGATTCAATTCAACAGCCGCCACCTCCAACGCCTCACTCTGCAGGAGGAGCACAAAGTATCATTCCATCGTGGACATTATTTGATACAGGTCGTAGCTCGCCAAATATTTTCACTGATGGAAATTCACCAAACCATAACAATAATCAAGTATTAAATCATCAGAATCAATCATCATTGCCTTTGATGTCAGCATCACATCATCAGTCAAACAACATTAATAGTTTCAACAGCATAAACGGTCATAATAATATTATTATTACGGAATCAACAACAGGATCATTTATACCTTCTGATTTTGATATTCAAGGTCCATTCCAACATATAACTAATCAGCTGTTAGAAATGTCTCCGTCGATTACTTATACAGTTGCATATGATCAAAGTCTAACGCGACTGTTTGGAACACCTTGATCACACTTTTGATTATCCCCTTTTTGAATTCAATCAATCGTCAAATCAACGTGATCGAAAAATGTATTTTGTGTACATATATTTTCTTTTTTTCATTTGTTAACTATCCATATTTATATATATTATATAAGTATATATAACCCCCACACATTTGATTGGCTGCGCCAGTCTTTCTTTTTTGCTATTGATGTTCTTAATTTTTTTTTGTTGATTCTTTTTACCGTTCTGGATTGCGGAAAAGAATTAGCATTAAGAAATTAAGGGATTTAGGTAGCAAAGAGAATAGTATATTTTTTTACTATATTTCTTATACATAAATACATACGTATATAAATCCTATATTTTTCATTCGCACATGCTCAACAGAATATCCTTTTTTCTATGCATATTAAAGTCACACATGTATCACATACACAACCAATTTCTTTCGGAGCTTAATCTGTTCATACCAAAAAAAATCATCTCTATCTATATCTTATTGGCTTTATTTTATTTTCTGCATCATTTTATCATTATTTTTACTGTTTTCGTATTTATCATTAGCACCTATGATGATATCGTTATTTGATCTTTTTGGTGGGATTATTATTAGGAAGGAGAGAAATCTTTAAATTTTTGGATTCTATTAATTATTGATTGATTAATCGAGTCACTTTTTGTGTATATGTATGTATATGTATACTATTATTCCTGAGCCAATTCTTTTTGTTTATTTTTGTAATTCTTTTTTCCCCTTGCATTTTTTGTATAAAGAAGCATACATTTTTTCTTATTATTATGTCTGATATGTCCTTTTTTGTTGATATTTTATTTATTATTTTATTGATCTAATAAAGTAACGATGATGACGATGAAGTAAATAAATATCTTTTCAATGAATATATTCCGAAATTACAATATTAATTGTTCAGAAACCAATCATATCGATAACCTATGCAACCACCCACCATTGATAAATTGGTAGATGGAGAATTAAACTTTAATTTTGTAATGTTTGTTGCACACAGTTAAAAAATCCATGCCTTGTGACGTACTGTTGGTGATGTATCAATACAATCAAACATATAAATTACGCGTTTTTTAATATCGATAATTCTCAAAAAAAACCCACATATTCTTCAAAAACCACATACGTATTCTTCAAATTACAAAATAATATCTTTACACTGTTGGTCAATGCCAAATATATTACTCTATACGTATTTGCGCTCTATTACTTTTCTATTCCCACTTTTACGTTCCCTGAATGGATTCCCTACAGTCCCTAATTTATTTCACAGTCAACAAGAAATGTCAAGTCATAAGGATTTTAGCCTAATATCTAATGAAAATGACTATTTACCGTCACCTCCGATAGTCGGAGAAATGTCTATGACGGAACTCTGGATTAAATTGTTTGCGATTGCTGTGTTGGTCTTGTTGGGTGGAGTTTTTGCTGGTCTGTATATAATTTGGATTTGGTGATGGGCAGATTAGCGTGGTAGCAATATCTAAGATCATCACACAATTTTAGATTTTCGTTAACATTTTTTTTATAATATGATTCTCTTCTGGCGAATTTCAAGGTCTCACGATAGGTTTGATGGGACTTGATGAAACAAATCTAAACGTGTTGGTGGTGTCAGGCGAGACTGATGAACGTAAACACGCGAAAGAAGTATTAGAGTTATTGAATCGTGGTAAACATTGGGTGCTGGTGACATTGCTACTCTCGAACGTGATTGTCAATGAAACATTGCCGATTATCATGGATTCTGTGTGGGGTGGAGGCTGGCCTGCCGTTTTAATATCTACCGCGTTGATTGTGTTATTTGGAGAGTATGTATTTTTTTTTGATTTTCACATTTGACATTGGTTTTGCGTTTGAGGTTGAAGAAATTTTTTCGGTAAACTTCATTAATTGTGATTTTTTTGGTGTTTTAATTTTTATGCTCTATTTAATTGTTATTATTATTATTTTTGGCCTTTCGTCAGTTATTAATTGTTCGTTTTTTTGCTGAATTTCCATTAGGATTATTCCACAAGGTTTGTTAAATGTCGTCCTTTCATCATCTAATAATTGTGTATTTTAATATTATATTAAATAAAATCTAAATCTTCTTATTGTTTCTTTGTTATTATAGCAATTTGCGTGAGGTATGGACTTGCTATTGGAGCCGGTTGCTCGTGGTAATTAATTTTATATTTAAATGAAAGTCTATATCGTTTGATTTTTTGTTCTTTATGCTAACCATAATTATCGTTAAATATTTATTATATTGTATTAATATGTGATTTGATTAAAGGTTTGTCTTGCTTTTAATGTATCTCATGTATCCAGTGGCTCATCCAATTGCCGATTTGTTAGATTACTGTTTAGGTGAACATCATGGCACAATATATCGAAAATCTGGTATTTTATTTATTTTTTAATACTTTTATTTTTCTATTGCAATTAAATACTAAATCATTTTTTCCGGTAGAACTAAAAACCTTTGTATCACTACATAAAAATGGCGGAATTGAAAGTCTTAACGAAGATGAAGTGACAATAATCAGTGCAGTATTGGAACTTCGTGAAAAACCCGTTTCGGTTGTGATGACTCCATTGGCGGATGTTTATACGCTGAGTGCTTATCATATATTAGATCAGAAAACTGTCGATGAGGTGATTTATTGTTTTTCCTTGTACTTTTTCTTTCTTTTATTCATCATGATTTTTATTATGATCGATTGAAATAGATCCTGATAGCTGGGTATTCGCGAATACCAATATACGAACCGCCAAATCCCACGAACTTTATCGGAATGCTTCTTGTCAAGAAGCTTATATCCTATGATCCTGAAGATGAATCACCAGTCAATGTTTTCACATTGAGTTCTTTGCCGGAAACATCACCAGATACTAGTTGTCTTGATATTCTGAATTTTTTCCAGGAAGGAAGAAGTAATTGATTTTTTGTTAAAAAATCAATTTTTTTCAAATCCCTTAGAATAATTTTATTTATTTACAAACAAAAGGTCATATGGTGCTTGTCACCGAGAATCCTGGTGGTGAGGGTGGCGCACTCGGTGTGATTACTTTGGAAGATGTGATTGAAGAATTGATTGCAGAGGTATATTAAAACTTATTATTATATATTCAACTGTATTTATTTTGATTCAATTTTTAATTTGATCAATTAATATTTAGGAAATTATTGATGAAACAGATGTTTATGTTGATGGTATTATTGACTTTTAACTTACTATCATTAATTAAACTCCTAATATTGATGTTACTAATTTAACGCATTAAAACAAGTTCACAAAAAAGTTGAAGTAGTTCGACGACCACCTCGCCAAATGAAACCACGACCATTTCTTACTATCCATCGAGCTGGAGCTCACGCCAAAAATCCAAATTGGGGTCGAACATTGTCTAGCGAAAAAATAACAAACAATAATAAAGATGACTGCGTCGTCGTTGATAAAGATGGTACTGGTAACAACTCGAAATCTAGATCAAGATCAAAGTCTCCCGAAAGTGTACGAATTACGACAGATAGTGTGATTGATAAACGAAGAGGAAAATTCAGTAAAAACGAAGATAAGTCAACAAATCCTCAAGGTTCTTCGCCTACAACTCCTGCTGCTTCGGGTATTCCTTCTGCTCCATCCAATTCCAATACTAAATATGGTTCAATTGAAAATTCAAATCGAGTAAATAACAGCGATCATAATGGAATTGATAAATTTAAAGGGAAAAGATTGCCTGATAGCGATGACGAATTCGAACAGCAACAGCATTCAGAAGTGGAACCATTATTGAGGGAGAGAAACGGAACATCTTAAAGATTGCTTGTTATGTATTTGCTGATTTGCAAAAGGATTAATAGGGAGCATTAGGTATATATATATATATATATTTGGGAAACAATATGTTGTAATTTAACTTCATTTCCAATAAACAGGATAAATCAATATACAATAATATGAAATAAATCGAATTATTAATACTAAATCTGATTATTTAATACTGATACGTTTTGGTTGAAATGCGTGATTCCTTGGAATCTTCACCGTTAATATACCATCTTGATAATGTGCATCAATATCCTCCGTTTTGTATCCAAGTGGAATCGTGACACTTCTTTTGAAACTACCGGATTTACGTTCTTTTCGGAGAATGTTGTGGCTAGAAAGGTCTTTATGTTCTTTATATTCTCCGCTGATTACTAGTTCTTGACCGTGTACGTCAAGCTTTTTTTGTGGAGTTTTTAACGAGATATTATAAAATCAATATAATATATAATCAATTTGAGTAGATGATAGTACTCACAGTAATGTTCTCGCGTGGTACACCAGCAACCTCTACATGAGCAATCCATTCATTCTCTCCCTCGTAGCTTTTTGATATAAAAATCAAATTAACCAAGATTGTAGAGATAATTAATAATATGAATGCTTCTTACATGTCAATAGCAGGGCCACTTGCACCACCAAACGTTTGATTAATTAGTTCATTTCCAATCCCGCGAACACCACCTGCTGAACCAAGTTGACCGCGAAAATCGTTGGCTAGGTCGCTAAACTGTTAACAAGTTTCGTTTGTAGTTTAGAATATGAGTATTTAGAATTGGTAGTTTTACAATGTATAAAAATTGACTTACTAAATTACGAAATTGTGTTTCGTATTTTCGAATAACTGGATGTTCATCGGAACCACTGTTTGGATTTTGATATGACATCTTTTTAATTAATAATAATAGAATTTAAACGTCTTTTATAACTTGGAAAACCATCTTGTGCGTGTGAATCTCGGCTTTAAAAGTGGTTCGATCATACTTGCATATACTGTATCTATATTTTAACGTTGAATATCGTTGACGTCATAATATCGTAATTTAGCATTTATTGAATCTGGGACAAGTTTGTAGATCGGTAACACAATGTTAAAGATTGATTTTAAAGGTTTAGGATTAGGGTTAGGGTTAGGTTGAGGTTAAGATTATATGTAAAACTGTCTCCCCGACATTTTTTATTAGTGCTTCAAACTAGACTTAAGCATGCGTTTCCTGTATTTTTCACATTTTTCATTTTCTTTGTGTCAGATTTGTTTTGCCGGACTGATAAAAAATTTGCGTATTCTTATTGGACTGATCTAAAATTTGCGCATTCTTATTGGTTTGTACTACCCGGCATTTTATTAAACTTGTCCCAGATTCAATAAATGCACTCACACTACTGGTCAATCAACCAATCACAGATATGAATAAAAACATTTCATTAGATTTCATCATGAACTTTACAAGCATATATCTGATAATTTGGATATGTATAAAATCCTAGAACATTATTGCAAAATACATACAAATTCCTAATTTAAAAGAATAAAAATAGTACAAACAATTAGATTAAAAAACATAATTATAATTAAAAAAGCTTTACTTTTACTTTTTGGTGTATCATTTTTGCAACGGACCATATTTTGTTTCGTTGTAGTTTTTTTATATTTTTAAAATTTAAATAAAAAGTATTATTGATAAGGAACAGAAAATTTGAATTTCTAAATTTCACACACAAAAACACTTGATAGAAAATCAAATCAACAATGCATTCTTTTTTCTCTTCTGATAACAAAAACCAACGTCGTAAATTGGTTTGTAATAAGTTGCTGTAATAATAAATATCGAAATTCATATCTACATGTGTTACTTAAAAACAGAATAAAGAAAATATTGTACGCTTGGTGTTTCCGTCACTTTCTACTGGTCTTGGTAAAGTCCCAATTGGAGAAGCTGTCCCTGTGGCTTGCAATGTATGTATGGCTTTCATATTAATTTCTTGATAAAATGAATCGATTAAACGATGAAATTTTGATCCTAAAAATTAGGTAATCAAGGAATTCCTATCCAAACATAAATTTAATGAACATAACAACGATGATATTGGATCCGTTGAATTAATACTTTACGATCCGGATCCGAATGTATTAAAAGCTTATGAAACGGTATTTAAACCGAATTTAAAACAAAAGAATTTTAATTTTCGAGATGATGGTGATGAATATTCTATGTATAAAAATAACCATGAATGAAGCAATTAAGTCAAGATATTAAAGAAACTCGATTGCGCCTAGTCAACGAATTGTTTACAGATAAAATGTCTTTTATTTCTGGTTTAGAATCAAGGTTATTTTAAGTCGAATGCTTTATTATTTGTTTTTTTATTGATGATTAATAGTTTCATTTATTTTTTTATAGATATATTGTTTGCGAAACTACTTGGCGTCTTAAACCTGGTCAGACAGTTTTTCTTATGCATTTGGTTTTTTATTTTTGAAATCAAAAATATTTTATTATCGATTTTACAAATATATTTAGATACAAGTCATTTCAATAGAAAGATTCTTGAAGCCATCGGACCTGTATTAGCTTCAGAGATAAAAAAGGCGTATTCAAAACCTGGAATAGTAAATTATTTAATTAATTAATTTATTTCAAGAATTTTATTCCATTTCAATTTTAATTACACAATGACCAATAATATATAGATTGGTGAATCCTATCCTATAAAAGTTCCAGGCGATAATGAATTTTGTCAGCGGAATGGGATAGAACAGGCATGCTCTCAATCAACAATCCATATTAATTCATCAAGTAAAATAAGTTACTATATACAAATTTTATTTTAACAGATTATATATGTGGTTTCACCAAATGTGAGTTCAACGCAATCGAATCCTGTCATAATATCCGAATCAAAAAAACTGTTGAGCGACGCGTATAGATCGATGTTTGATGCATTTCTATGCATTATACGTGGCGAGAAATATACACCCAAAGGACAAGAAGAAAAATCTAAAACAGAGAGCAAGGAAAAACCTAAGTCAGCTTGTTAGTAAAATTTAATTTAATTTAATAATTGTTTTATTTATATCTTTTTATCAATTCAATTTATTGTAACGTGTGTTTTTTTAGTTGACGTTCTGATGCAGGGATCTCGTGATTCTAGTTCTTCCACTTCAAAGTCTTCGTTCGGCAAAAAAGCCAATAAAGGATTTCATTGGCAAAATGCTCTTCTCGGATATCTTGAAAACCCGGAGAAATATCCCGATAATGAAGTGTACTTTTATGACAACGAATTTGTTATCATTTGGGATAAATTTCCAAAAGCAAAAAAGCATTTTTTGGTGATGCCAAGACGTAGGATTAATTTTATTGATGAGTTGACCAGTGATGATTTACAATTGATTCAAACGATGAAAGAGAAAGGCGAGTGGGTTATTGAGAGGTAAGTTTATATAAAAAATTTTTGAATATGTGAATATTTTATGTATTGATAAATTTTTTCCAATAGAATAAAACAAGAAGATCCCAAACTTCGATTTCGAATGGGATTTCATACAGTACCGAGTATGAAGTAAGACATCTTTACCTGTTATTGGTAGACATTGCAAAAATAACCAGTTTACTAAAAGAATTAATGGATAGACAACTTCACATGCACGTAATCTCACAAGACTTTATCTCACCAACATTAAAAAATAAAAAACATTGGAATTCATTTACCACCGAGTTTTTCAAAGACCCAGACGAGATATCAAAAACATTGCAGGAAAACGGAAAAATTCACGTGAGCTTTTTGTGCATTATTACTTGAATCGACTTTCCAATTAAATTTATCTACTTGTATATACAGTTCGATAAAGACTTTTACGAAGAATTATTGAAAGCTCCCATGAAATGTCATTTATGCAAAAAGAAAATGAATACCGTTCCAGAGTTGAGAGAACACTTGTTGAAGCATTGGAATAATGAATAGTTACAATACTGGTCCATTATAATTATACTAGTATAAAATCAATTAGAGGTTTTTCTTCTGCATCAGGATATTCCGTAACTCCATTACCACGTATATTACGATAATGTGAAATATTTCGTCAGGAAGTTAATTAACTACAATCACATCAGAATATACATGCAATTCTTATAGAACTTCTAATTTCATGATAACTGTTTGACTAGCAATCAACTTTTTCCACAAAAATTATGCTATATAATATATATAATGAATATATGCGTTTTGTGTATATGTGTATGTGTATGTAAATATGTTCATGTCAAAAAATATGTACGCTTTTTTAAATATCCAATTGTCTTTTGTATTTGTTTCAAAAGGAAATAAATTAAAGTCCATCAATATGTCATAAATAAATTTTGATTTTGGAGAAATAAATTTTGAGTTTGGAGATATATTATTCTTTTGTTTACTCCCATCTATCAAGTCACGCTCAAAAAATGCTAATTTAATGCCTTTTCTAATAACAAAAACTAACCAAGTCGAATTGTTTAAAAATACTCGTCAAAAAAATATCCTCATTGCAATAATGATCTACAACTGTTGTGTTAATTCACCATTACGGCTACCAGCTACTGCGCCATCGATTTTCTGCAACGAGCTCAAAAAATCTCCCATAATCTCAGGTCCGGGCGGGTCCAACTCAATAGTTGGTGTCGTAGCTCGCATTTGAGGTAGAGCACGTGGCATTGTCGCAATTATTTCTGGTGCATTAAAATGTCGACCAGTGCGCTTCATTTGCGAACTACTGCGTGGTCTTAATGTCGGAAGATCATTGTAATTCTCAGATGCTTTTGTTTTCGCAGCTAATGGTAATTCGGGAAGTTGCGGGGAAGAGATCATTGGTTTAGCTGGTAATAATATTTGGTTATCACTATTTTGTTGTTGTGCTGACGCCGATGTTGATAAATTTTCATTGAATGACCACTGATCACTGTCAATGCTATTACGCCCTTTTGGACTCGAGTGTAATAGTATTGGTGGTTTAATCACTAAATTCGAAGATGGTCTACGATTTTGTCGAGATTGAATGTTTTGTGGCATTGTATCTTCAAGAGTCGTGTCCGATTTTGTGGACTCATCGCTTATTGACTGACGATGATCAGTATAATGGTTCCCGGGATTTGTTCGAACGTATGCTGGCATACTAGAAACGGAAGAAATTGACCGCGCAGGTGATTTTTCTCGTTTGATTACATTATTATTGTGTTGCTGTTGTTGTTGAGAACCAGGAGCAGCAGGCATTGATACACACCACGAGTTTGAATTCTGTGATGTCTGATATGTATTTGGTGTTGATAAAGACGTGGATCGACTCCGTATGCGATTTGATGACATCGCAGATAGTCTGTGCGAGGACTGAGATGACATTGAAGAGATTGAGGATGTTGTAGATGCGGAATCATGAATTGCTAATGGATCGGATTTCAGAAATTCTGTTGACGCACGTAAAGTTATTAATGCGAAACTAAAAACAATTTATTATCGATTTAAGGTTAAAATTGAGACTAAGATTCGAATGAAATTGTAATTTCTCCTTGAGCTCGGTTATTTAAATACCTAAGTTCAGATCGTTCAACTTTCGACAGCCGAAATGTTTGCATATAAAACAGAATACTCTGCAACCGTCGTATTCCGCTATTAACAATAACGTACGTGAGCAACGGGATGAAATCATCAGTCGTAATAGAAGACCTATCCAAATCCTCATCAGACCCATGTCTCGGCGCCAACTGGTTCAAATAAGTGTCAGCAGCATTAGCGATCTCCTGAATAGCACGTTTCACGCAAATCAGTTTCTCCAAAGGAGTTTTAGCGGGTATCGTGGATTTTTTTTTGCAAGGTTCTTCCTCCAGGAACATTGTTGTCGACCCAACACCGTAATATTGTTGTTGCTGCAGTTGTTGCGAGAATCGATAGTCAAAGCCATCATCGTCGTCTAGTGCTGCTAATATGTCACACGCGGTACCAAGCATCTCTTCGGGCATGTCATGGAGACGTTCACTTACTCCATAGACTCGTAACGTTATATGTGCTCGTACATACGCGTAAATTATTGATTCGAGATAATTGTCGTATGAATTGTACATTGGACACAGTGATTGCCCAAATATTTTGTTATGCAATTCACTCATCAGGACACTTTTATTTTTTAAATAACGACAAACAATTATTAGATAAAATTGAAAGTAATTATAATTATGGATTTATAAAATGAATTTATATAGTTTACTTTTCAACAAGCTCCAGGAAACAATCATACTCATGCTGCACTTTACATATAGATCGTATTGTACTATTCGATTCCATAATGTTCTATTTTTTTTTTTGCAAGTCAGAATCACAAATAATATAAAAAATTGCATAAATCCAACAATAATACAAACACCAAGATACCTGAACAGCTTTCTGAAAAAGTTGTACAATCTTATCAACAGCGGACGGTGCGTAACCACGTACAAAAACATAAGTTTCGTTAAACTCCGCAACCGCATGTGTCAATTCCATCAAAGACTGAAGATTATTCGGGAAACTCTGCAAGAACTGTAAATCAGTCTCGTGATTCCTTTCAGTCGGTATACCCATGCCGAAAACCTCCGACACTTTTCCCTCTCCTTCCAACGGTTTCTCGAGAATCAGAGCTCGAACTGAATAAGTTTCATTGTATAGTAATTGTTCCTCTAGAATCCTCACTTTTCTGGCCTCTTTGAAACCTGGAATATTTCGAGATTTTTGTTTAGCAGCGATGATAATGATGAGAAAACGCATGAATTTACTGCATTTTGATTTTTCTTGTTAATTCCTTTTCTTTACCTGATATTGCCTTTACTGCATTCCGCTCTATACACACTACTTTCCCATTAACACTCAGATATTGTCCTTGGAAATATGGCGATGGTGTGAGTGAATGGGTCTCTAGGAATTTGATAAAAACACGTGACATTAATATAAATGGCGCAGTAGATAATAACGCGCGTAATGCAGATCACATATGCGCGTGTGCATAAATAAATACCAATAAAAGCCCGAGTCATTTTTAAGCCGACAATACTTCGAGAATGCGGTACACAGATCAACGAAACACGATGAAGCACTTTGGGATAATCTCGTTTCAATGTCGTATAGAAAACGTTCTCATCAAGATCTTCGTCTTCTTGTTGCTCAGGTAGCGAAAGCACCGAATTGTTCGCAGAACTTGTTGGTGAGTCATAGTAAATTCGAGGAGGTGGGTGATTCGGTAGAAATGGTTTTTTATTTTGTGCTGTGTTATGTGAGAATGTCTTATTGCTGTGATTTTTGTTTTTTAGGGTAGTTGGTATTGGCGGTGTTCCTGAAACTTGTAAAAGACGACTTCGCGTATGCAGTGACGATGATGAATTAGTTACATCTCCGTGTATGTTACGACTATTATTACTATTCTTGTTACTATTGTTGTTGTTGTTACTATTGTTATTGATGCTGTGCACTATTCCGGCTGGTTTTTGGCGCATTGGACTATTACGAACAAAAAGTTTTGTTAATTTCATTGTTCTCGTTAATAAATAAAAGAATGCGCAGACGACCACCGATAGAAAATATCGTTCGATTGCTATTGATATTTGTATAAATAAAATAGGAATTTGCTAAGTACGGTGAAAGTGAGCGCGCGAGGAGAGAAATCGGTGAGAGTTTACAAGTATACTTTTTTTAATTTGTAACCCTTAAAGGACTTTGTCGTACAAGCTTTTATATAATCGGAAAAGTAAAAGAAAAAAAAAAGTTGTAATATTTACAAAGTTCGAAATATACAAGAAAGGATTGTCGTTTTTTTTAAAAAAAAAAAAGTAAAGAGAATATAGGTTTTATCAATCCAAAGTTAACAATTGCGTTCAAAAGTGTCGAATACTAATAATAATAAAAGTTCACGTGTTGTCGAGAACCAAGGCATGACAAAACCACAAGTGGAGAAGTTAGAACTGCAAACACAACCAAGGTGTGCGAGAAAGAGATAGAGGGCGAACGAGAGCTTATGCGAATGTATAGTATGTGTAAATTCCTAATGAGTAAAATGTTGAATTCTGAAATTCCACAAATGACCACTAGTAATGTGAATAATAGCAATAACACAATTGCACATATATATATATATATATATATGTATATGTATATGTATATATGTATATATGTAAATACGACCTGGTATAAACTACTATTTTTTGAAAGTTTGAGCGAAAGAAGACTTCGAAAAAAAGGTTAATAATAATAATAAATAGAAATAAGTGATGTAAGATACAAGTAGCAGTAATGGTGACAAGCAACACTAATAAAAACAAATACAATTACATCAATAGTTGAAAATTTTATTTTTTATTTTACGCTCACTCTTTTCGTGTTGTATATTTTGTGTTTGTTGTATAGAGATAAGAAGAGCGCGCAGAGGGGCGCGGGAGAAAAAACCAATAAAAAAAAACAAAGCAAGACCTTCTTCACTAATAATAATGATAACAATAAATAATACTATAGTAAAAGTGAAAAAAGTAAAGAAGAGGAAAGAAAGTTCGCCTAAATGTAAGTAAGTTGGCTAACTGCAGAAAAAAATAAATGATGTATATATAAATTTTTTATTTTATATTACTATTTAATACACACTTCCCCTTTTTTTATTGCGGGGCGAGATACGCCAACAACGAATAAATGAATAAACGGATAAATCTAAAATGAATTTCTATAAAGGATTTTTTATCCCTCACAAATGTCTTTATTCTATCGAAAGAGACCATTATTTATCATATCGATAATAAATGCGTACGAAAAATCATTGATGGATGGATGGATGCAATTCAATGTAAAATTAATGCACGAAATAAATAGAGTTAATTGTAATAAATGGAATATGAGTTAACTCGATTTTTTGGTGTCACCACTATGAGTCATTAGTAGAAGGTCTAGTTATATAAAATATTTTATCCTCGAGAACAGGATATTCTAACTCGTAGAAAGTGAGTGAATTTTCTTTAGTGGTTGCGAAATGCAAAATGATCGTGTATATTTAGATTCTGTAAATGTGGCGGCGACGATATAGGTTTAGCACACACATAAAATTACGTCGTAATGTATGGCATCCAAAATACTCTTTTCCCTTTTCTTTTCATTCATTCATTTAGTACTCAATTCAGCAATTCATTTGTTCAATTCAATTATATTTCATTTTCTCTCTGATCTAATATAAAAATAACCTGTTCCTTCAATTTTTTACCCCACACATAACACACAACACGCAACACAAAGATTTGCCGACGCTTGTAATAACAATTTACCCCATACGAAATAAAAAAAGTGATGAACCTTTTAATTTCTTGTCAAAAACAGGCGCGTGATAATACATATATATTAATTTAACGTTTATTATATAAGAAAATGTAACATACTTTAATTAAGCTTGTATATCGATTCTATTGAACCCCTCCATTTTCTTTGTGTCGCGTAAATATTTCTGTACGATGATGACAACATTCTATTCATTTGTCAACTCGGTTTAATTTCAAGTTATCGATTGCGTTTGTGTAAAAAATATGACCTACTTCATCCGTTTTTGGGGAACATCGACAGAAAAAAGAACAACGGATAATAACAAAAGATTGTTGAAGCATGTAGTTTTCGATATCATAAAGATCTAAAAATAAAGAGGCTTTGGAATATTGTGTTCGAACGTATGAAGACACGTTTTATCCACTCATTCACTGATCTCAAATAATTTTTTATACTTGTTTTTTCTAATCTCTTTCCGATCCCTTCTAATCTCTTTCCGACCCCTTCTAAGTAATAATTATATACACATAGTTGTAATTAACCTCCTTAACATTAGCGAATGCATCATCACCTTGATCATTATTTATCATCATTGCTGTCGTCTTCTTTGCTTAAATAGCGTGAACACATATACATTTACATGCATATCGCAGACATTAACATTAATTATCAGTTGTTAATTTTTTTATTATATAGAATTAATATTCTATTTGAAAAAGAAGAAAGACGACTACGATATTGTTTATTCGATAAAAGTTAATGTTTACAGAATTCTTGGGGTTTGAGCACCAATGACATGTTAATGCGACTTCATCTCGTTATTGTGTAAGCAAAGGAGTAGAAGTGAAATTATCATGATACCACATATGCATATGTACGTGTGTACCGGGGGGGATGAAAAGTCTCGCTAGTGAGAATAGAAATAACATCCAGAATGACTAATCATTATTATTCTTTCAAGGTAGAAACTTTCTTGCTTGTAGGGCACGATTTCGGGAAGTACTAACTAACCAATTAACGCGTAAAATAATACATGCGGATAACGAATTTAACCGTGTCGCATATTACAAAAAACAAACAAATCCTATTTTCATGCATCCAACTAAAATTTCAAATAAGCAATTCATCTGTTCATCGGATTTTTTGAGCAGCAGTGTCAGGTAGTGCTTTTAACTTTCCTCTTTAAGGTATCATTAAGAAGTAAATCATCATTTACACACATTATTTTGAATTTGAATCACATAGTACAAAATTTAAGCATGTTGAAAATTTCCGATGATTTTACGTTACACTACCTTGCTTGTACTTACAAAATTCTAGTTTTTTAAGGGGCAAGAAATACTATCGCTATTTTTTCTCTTTGAAAGATAATTCAGTATCTTCGAGATTTACAAAACAGTTAGATAAATAAGATAGTGAGATATATATATATATATGAAATTCAATTCGATAAAGATGAAATCAATAAAATTAACAAATTAAGGATATGCATAAAATGCACGTTAAAGTTTTGAATGATAATAACCAATGATTTTATCAAGTTTTCGTTCTCATTAACAGCTTAATACATAATCAAATAAAACTGCGCGATAAATTAAAGCAAATTTTTTCCGAACATCCGGATTCACCCAATTATATACAAATTTGGTTTTTTCAAACGGATGATTTTATCAAATGTGTTTTCCGCTATACTCTTTTCGTTCACATTGACAGCTTAAATATGCAGTGGACGCCATAGCGCATAGCGCAATAAAAAATTTGACTAATTTAGACTTATTACGTATTACACTCAATAAAAAATAAGGTAGACATACATAGTAATAATTGATCTCATGATATTACGTACGCTACTCACAACTCATGTCATGCTCGGACATAAGTAGACTATGTCCGAGCATATTAAAGTTATTCTATTATTTTATTATAAGTAAAGTTGTTTATTATATTACAAAGAACATGTTATAAACTTTGAAAAATATAATTTCAGCTACATAGTTTTTTATAGTTTAATGATATCTTAAGTAGATTTGTTCATCTCAAATATATTACCGGAAATTCCGATTGTGTTAACGAAGATGATGATGGTTTTGTTGTTGCCGTAATTACGTATGTACGTACGTACATCGAGGTTTGATAATACGTACATGTACAATTTTCAATGTACGTATGTACGTATTATATTTTTCAATGTATCTACTATACCGATAACCGAAACAAGATTTACAAACCATAAATTAATTTGCAGAGTAGCGGTCGGTAGTGATTTTTTGTGAATGAATCATCGATATGTTGTATAGAATAAAATTCAGCGTGTGCCTTTGGAACATCCCAAAATTTTCCTTTCGTAAAATCTGCCATTTGTTTGAATGCAAAATCAATAATAGTCGCGCGATTGAATCATTAGAAAGATACATTCAGTATTGTCTGTCAATTCGTACAATTCAGCATTTGTTTAAATGTAATATTGATGCTTAATGTGCATAGATTAAATAAAAAAAACAAAAAACGGTCAAAAAAGAATTACGTATGTATTGTCATTGATATATATATATATAATAATGGCTTTTTATGTTTAACTTTACATTCAAACAAATGCTGAATTTTACGAAAGAAGCAATTTTGGGATCCCCAAAGGTACAGTACCCCCAAAAAGTATCGCCCGATTTTTTTAAAAAATGAAATTTTCGATTTATTTCATTTCTGCTTTATAT